TCCTGTTGCCAAAATTTCCTATGTTCGTATCTTAATTTCTTTGGCTGCTAATCTTGATTGATCCTTGTTTCAGTTAGACGTCAAGGATGCCTTCTTACATGGTGACTTGGTTGAAGAGGTATACATGGAGCAGCCACTTGGGTTTACTGCTCAGGGGAAATATGGTAAGAGTGTATGTCGATTAAATAAATCTTTGTATGGTTTGAAGCAGTCACCGAAGGCATGGTTTGGTAAGTTTTCAGATGCAATTTTAGAGTTTGGTCTTCTTCGATGTCAGATAGATCATTCTGTGTTTCATAGACAGACAGATGCTGGATATGTCCTATTGGTGGTCTATGTAGATGATATTGTGATTACTGGAAATGACTCTGAGGGGATTGCCAAGTTAAAAATTTTCTTACATGATCGATTTCATACTAAAGATTTGGGAAAATTCAGGTATTTTTTGGGTATTAAGGTGGCTCGATCTAAACAGGGTATTTGTTTATCCCAGAGAAAATATGTACTTGACATGCTTGAGAAAACAGGTTTGCTCGGTGGCAGACCTATTGATGTTCTTATGGATCCGAATCAAAAATTTTTGATGGATGATGGTGCACTGTTTGAGAATCTAGGTCGGTATCGCAGATTAGTTGGGAAACTCAATTATCTAACTATTACTTGACCGGATATTTCGTATGCAGTCAGTATAGTAAGTCAATTCATGGGGTGTCTTAGAGTACCACATTGGGAGGCACGTATTTTGCGATATCTCAAACGTGGTTTTGGACTTGGATTGTTATATCGAGCTAATGGACATCTTAGAGTGAAAAGTTTCTCAGATACTGATTGGGCTGACTCTCTTTCTGATCGGAGATCAACCACTGATTATTGTACTTTCTTAGGAGGTAATGTTGTCTCATGGAAAAGTAAGAAACAACTCGTGGTAGCAAGATCCAGTGCTGAGGCTGAGTATAGGGCAATGACACATACGACGAGTAAGCTGACGTGGCTACCACACTTCCTCCAAGAAATTGGGTTTCCAGTTCAACTTCCTTTACAGTTGTTTTGTAATAACCAGACAACTATTCATATCGCTGTCAATTCTGTGTTTCACGAGAGAACTAAGCATATTGAGGTTGATTGTCACTTTATTCGGGGCAAGATAGTAGCGGGGGAGATTACAACTTCATTTGTGAAATCTGAAGATCAACGTGCAGATATGTTTACCAAAATATTGAGTCGTACACTTCTTACAGCTATTTGTTTCAAGCTTGGATTATATGATATATATAGTCCAGCTTGAGGGAGAGTGTTAAAAATAGTAAGGTAGTATGTGTAATTTGTTAAATAGTAAGATGGTGTATGTGTAATTATTGTTATTGTAGGTTAACTATAAATACAAGTGATGTATGAGAGTTAGGTTAAGTTTTTAACCTCTCTCTTTCTCCCTAATATTATATCTAATATTGTGTTACATTGATCCTTTCAATTTAACATTATGCAACTTAAATATTGATAGATGATGATGGAGATTCAAGATTTTGATGGAAGGGATGATTCTACAATATTTTCTAGTTGGCTTGTTTCTATGGAGAACTATTTTGTTAGGTATAATTTCTCAGATGAGAGGAGAGTAAGACTTGTCAAGATGAAACTTGTAGGCTTGGCAAAAATTTGGTGGTTTGGTGTTGAAGGAGATATAAGAAGATTGTGACAACCTCCTATAAACACTTGACAAAAGATGAAAGCTAAGCTTCAACAGAGGTATATGTCCTCAAACTATAGTAGCAAGTTGTGCAAACAACTTATTAAACTGCAACAAGGTAACCTATTTGTTACAGAGTATATTCAAAGATTTGAAGACCTAATGTTGAAAAACCATATCGTAGAAGAACCCTGCCAAACAATTGCTCGATTCAAGGCTGGTTTAAGAGCAAATATAAAGGCAGAAATACTTGGGCAGCCACTATACAATATAAAGGCAGAAATACTTGGGCAACCACTATACAACGTAGAGCATGCATTCCAAGTGGCACTTGGTACGGAGATGTATCTAAATTTCCTTCACCAAATAAGTACATCAAGGGTTTTTTCTTTGCAAAAGGGTAAAATTCAATGTTATTTAGATTCTAATGTGCAACTAGAGAAGATTCATCAAAAGCATCCCAAAGCAACAACTGATCGAATAATTCAAGATGAAAGAAATCAAATAGAAGAATCAATACAATCCCAAGCAACTACGCTACTTACTTGTTCAAAGGCTAAGGTAAAAAGTGAATATTCAAACAATTTTTTTGTTGTGGAGCTTGAGAAGATGAAAAATCTGGCAACTAGTATTGAATCAAATGAGCCTTTAGAGATGAGTACGTTACTACCTAAGAGCTCTGAGATAGTGCTAAAAGTGTTGCCCGGTGAAATTATTCCCATTAATGACTTTCAATCAGCAACAATGACGTTCCAAGAACTTGATTTGTTTGCATCTTTCAAGGATCTACATGAAGAGTCACCAATGCTTCTTTTTATCCACTTTACTCTACCAATTGATTTTATCATTCCAGAAAATTTCAACGACACAATCAAGGGGATCAATTTTCAAATTTTTTCTTTGTTCCCTTAATTAGAGAAGAAAATGAGACATCATCTTAACGCTTTTCAGAGACAGCTACATATACAAGTTCAATGTTTTTGGACTTTCATACTACAACACTTTAAAACTCGAGGTCGAGTTTTCTCCAACCAGGGAAGAATGATGCAATCCATAAGATGCTTAAGAAAATAAATTCGAAGATGTGAAAGATAATGAAATTGACTTTCCATCAAGACAAAAATCCATATGGAACCTTGCATTCTTATTTTAAGTTAATTTGTTAGTATTAATATTTTATATGTCCTTTTAGTATTTTTAGTGTCAGGGATATTTTTGTAATTTCTAGAATTTCTGGAATAGGTCATATTTTTAGGTCAAATTCTAGTATTGATTAGAATTTAAAATCCTAGTTCTAGTTAATTTTAGTTTTTTAATATGTAGGGATTTAGTGTCTTTAAAGTTCTAGAGACTTTGGAATCCTAATCTTTTGGAATTAGGATTACTTAGAACTCTATGTATAGTTAATGTTATTTTTAATAATAGATATAGGAGAGAGATATTCAAAATTTTCAGCAATTACATGTTTCTTGAGTTGTGTGATGCAATTCTAACCCTAGGTGTGATGCCTACGGAACTCTAGGAGTGATTCCTAGCCAAAAATACTGTTCGCGCTACTGTTTACAGTCCCATTACTGTTCACGGGTACTGTTCACAGCCCCTATTTTTATTTTACAAAGTTGTCCTACATCAATATCTCTCCCGTGTAACAAACTAACAAACTCTGTACAATGGAAGCCAGCTAATAATAGAAAATGTATTTACAAATGAATAGAAAACAAGGAAACTAGTGTAATTACAAATCAGCCCGTTTCTATATTTGTGCTTAGACATCTTGTAGTTTCTTGTAGAGATGAACGACTTGTACCTTGATTCTCTGTACTGTGTAATAGGGTGCACTGCTGAATTGGGATTTCTGGTACCATGTTGTGATATTCTTGGTTGGATTTGTCATTGTTGATGTGGAAACTCCAAGTTTTGCTATGAATCAACTATAGTTTGTTTAATTTAATAGAAGTATATAAAGTAATCTATAATCCGAAGAGTCAAGCCACTCAGTTACACTATATTATGTTATTGTTGTTTTATTAATAAGCTGCATTGTCTGGGATTTGCTGAATTTGAGATGGACGTGGTAATATAGGGTGTTCCTATAAAACAACTGGCAATATAGTTGAATTATTAAACGAGTCATCCCAAAAACATACTAAAAGCCCTTGTCACATTTCTGGAGGAATTTAAAAATATCATAAATTTTGAAAATATTTATATGCTATGTAGGACTGTTGAGGGCATATTTTGTCTTGACATGATCACCACTGCACATCAATATTCTGCCGATGCTTACTAATGCGTATTAAGTATTTTTTCAGAGAACATGTAAGCTTGTCACAATTTGTTATTAATTAAACCCAGGTATGAGGCTATTGAATTACGTGATGGTGACAAGGGAACATATCTCGGAAATGGTGTGAGTAGAGCTGTCAAGAATATCAATGAGAAAATATCTGAAGCTTTGATTGGTATGGATCCGACTCTTCAGTCCCAAATTGATCAGGCCATGATAGACTTGGACAAGACAGAGAAGAAGGTAGTCTTTGCTTCTTTCAGTGGAGTTGATGTAATAACATGGTTATCTATAGAATTTATGTATCTACAATAATGTGTCAGTAAACGTATAGGGATAAATCTGCTTTTGTTAAAGAAAACATTTGTTTAGCCTTCTCTACTTGTTTTGGACCCGTTACTTTTGGCAGTTTCTAACAACAATCGGGTTGGCCTGTGTGAAATAATGTGGATGTTGGACATCTTTAGCGTGGGTAATCTCCTTTTATTGTGAGAGAAAGTTTCAAAACCACAGGGGACAGCCAGTTGACCATGAAACAAGAGATGCCACTATCATTGAGGTTGAGGTTTGGTTATGTAATGCATGTTGTGCAAATCTGGTTGATTGAGGGTGCACAAGTGGGAATTATATGCTTTTTCTTAATGGGATTGATGTAATTATTAAACTACAGTCATGAGGAGCTACTTTGCTGACATGTTTGGTTGAACTATATCTGTTATGTAATTATTAGAGGCACATAAAAGCTAAAGATTTTATGTTGGAATTTCGTGCGGGGTTTTGTTTGATTGTATTGGAAATTGGTTACCAATATCAGCTATATTTATTTTGCTCCATACAAAATGAGCCCTTTGTATCTACTTTTGGCTAGTTTGCACTTCAAGACGGATATTTTGTTTAGTTTGTTTGAGAGCTGAAGCTATCATCATCCATTTTGCAGGGTGAACTTGGAGCTAATGCAATTTTAGCTGTGTCAATTGCTGCTTGCAAAGCTGCTGCTGCTGAAAAAGAGGCTGGCAGTCATTTAGGCATTTCAGTATTATATTTATCTTTCTGTGATAAGTTAGTTGGCCTTTTTTTTGAGTAAAAGTTACTTTCAGGTTCCACTATACAAACACATTTCTGATCTTTCTGGCAACACGAATCTGATTCTTCCTGTCCCCGCCTTCACTCTCATAAGTGGTGGAAAACATGCTGGGAACAATATAGCTCTGCAGGTAGTAATTGTTTAGAAGCAGGCTACAAAACCTGTTTATTTCTGGTAGGAGTGAGCTTTGCCCAATGTAAACCAGAATTAGCTACATTCTTTGCAAGTGATATGTTGTTGTTTTTTGACTTTTCGAGTTGTTTTATGGAAAGATTATATGGTCTTGAGATTTTGTTTCTTGTGGTGCATTGTTCGATTTAATTGAATAATCGAAATTATGACACAATCAGGAAATTATGATTCTCCCAATTGGAGCAAAGAAATTCGAGGAGTCAATGCAAATGGGCTCTGAAACCTATCATCATTTAAAGGTAACTTCACTAAGCTAAAAGTTACAGCTTTAGGATCATGATCCACCTTAGTGGTTTCTTGTCTATCATTGTTATGACTTAGTTTTCTATATTATACTTTTGTTAATTTATTGATAATTTCTTGGTGACAAATGCTTAAATATTCTATTTATCACCTTGGAAGAAACCAACGAGTTTTACAACTGAAATTGCATTCTAAATTTTCTACTGACAACGGATTTTGCTTGATCAAACTTCAATTTATGTGGCTTTTTGTTATCTAGCTTATGGTCTGCACCATTTTGCCATGTCTGTGTGTTCTTCAAAAGTGTGCCTCAGTTGTTAACTTTTAAGGTTTCTTAAATGCGTAATATTCTTTGACATAAATGGCTTCTATGTAAATGTGCATCTATATAAACATGCATTGAAAAAAAAAACTCACAAAAAACATCAGTAACGACTAAAGAACCCAACTGCACAACACATATAACTTGGTTAAATGGTCCAATTCACTCTCTCATTGCTTTGGATATCTCAAGTCATTCTTTCCAATTCTGTTTCATCTTTGCTGTGTTATTTCCTTTTTATTTGTAACATAAATCCTACTCTTGCTACACTGGTTTTCACTAAGATGGCTATGTCTTTGTTATCCTCACCTCATGCTTCTGGCTTGTTTATTGATTCTCATTTCTGTTGTCAATAAGGGCAGGTTGTAATTACAGAGAAATATGGTGCACATGGGTGTAATGTTGGTGAGGACGGTGGTTTTGCTCCAAACATCTCCAGGCAAGTTTTTCCTTGTATATGGTGCTTTGTTTTAGTGGTCAATTGGTGATCTTAGTATTCTTCATTTGCAGCTTTAGAGAAGGTCTAGATCTTGTTAAGGAGGCCATTAGCAGAACAGGGTATAATGAGAGAATAAAGATAGCGATTGATGTTTCTGCTACTGATTTCTGCATAGGTGATGTTCCGATTCTACCTTGGTGCCACACTAGTGACTGATCATAACCCATGAAAGCTGCAATATCTCTAGCATCACTTGTAGGTTTTCTAGTCTTAACGTATACAATAACTGTCTGACACAGTAAGATTATTGTTTGGCAGACATTTGTTGTATGAAATACTTTTTGGACAAGTGACTTATATGCAAATGCTTATGTGGTGGAAGTTTTGTTTTCCTCAATTAAATCAGATCAGCTGTCTATTGATCTTGCATTTTTAGCCAATATGATGTCATTTGGTCCCACATGTATTTCTTGATTATTAATAATTTGACTCATGTTTTTTATCCCTGATTTAGGTACAAAATATGATTTGGATTATAGATCTCCACATAAATCAGGACAAAATTTTAAGTCAGGAGAGGATATGATTGCGATGTACAAAGAACTGTGTGCAGGTATATGTGTGATTCGTTTGTTGGTTTTTAGCACTAGACAAATTTGGCTAACATGGTTCTGATTACATTTTTTTCCCTTTTCTTGGGAATGCTCTGGTCGTCTTAGAATACCCTATTACCTCCATTGAAGATCCATTTGACAAGGAGGATTGGGAACATGTCAAGTATTTTTCTGGGCTAGGGATTTGCCAGGTTTGTTTGTTGCTCTTTAGTAGTATTCACATGCAACCTCTGTCCTCTGAGCAACTTGAGCTGCAGAAGGATAGGAGCTGAGGTTGAGATCCCAACATGGGGTGGCCACTTATTGTTTTTTCAATTGATTTCTTTTTGCTACTGTAGAATACCAGGATCCTTTGAAGCTGCAAAGTCATTTTCTTCAGACATATATGTGTATATGTGGATACTAACTGTTAGGTTGAGTGGTATCTCTGTCACCCAAAGGAGTTGTGAGGTTTCAGTCCCAGAGTAAGACATGATTAAATTTTTTATTATTTACCAAAACTTATTTTAAACAATGAAAACAACAGTAATTCCGGGTTTGTTGATTAACAATTGATTTTCACCTTAAGGTGACGACGGAGTGCTTTCTAATACATTGAATAAATGCTAGTTTGTAAACTAGAGAACCCCGGAGGAAAAAGGGTGATGTTTGACTCTTGCATATCATGCTTGCACCTCTCTGACTTGGATTTGGAGAAGAATTAAGTATTGATATATGCAACTAATGAATTAAGGACGATGCACTTCACAGAAGCATCCAGAAAGCGAGATGCTGAATATTTTGGTCGTCTACAGATTTTAGGCTATCAACATGTAATTTGCGAGTTTGCTAGAGTATAATTTGAGGATTAGCTGATTAGCTTCCTATTATTGAGTGGCCTTTAGTTGTAGGCAAGTGTCGACAGTTGAACTATTATGGGGCTATGCCTACCCTTGTCGGAGTTTTTAAGTTTTATATGTCCCAGGATCTATTAGCTTTTCTCTTTATTTATGCCAAATTGATCTCATAGAGAGTGTTCTTTTGCAGGTTGTGGGAGATGACTTGCTGATGTCAAATCCAAAACGCATTGAGAAAGCCATACGTGAATCTGCTTGCAATGCTCTTCTTTTCAAGGTACCTGCTGATCTATGAGACATTGCAGGCTGTTCTGATACTATGATGGCTAAATGTCCTGAAGTGTACAGGCTTAGTTTTCTTTCATCACCGCAAGGTTTCCTCCTTTAACAAGTATTGCACTATAAAGAAAATTGGACAGACTATTTCTTTGATTTGCATTTATGACAATCAACTTACAATCAACCCATCCAGTTAGTTAAACGTCAGTTGACTAACCAAATATATCTCCACTAATCCCTAAATTACCCTTGTATCAGATTTTAACTTCTTTTTCATTTATATTAAAATGTTTTAAACCCGAGAAATACAACTCAACTTCCCTCGTGAAACCAATGCCCCCTTACCCCCGATACTATCCCTACCTCTCTCTCTCTCTCTCTCTGTCACACACACACACATCTCTCTCTCTCTCTCTCATACACACACACACACACTCTCTCTCTCTCCATGACCCACTCCAAGATGCAACCCTCCATCAACCCCACCCCACCTTCTCCTCCTTACCAGCACCACACTAGAACAATCACGAAAATCTGTTACTAAATGAATGCAAATCCTCATCTATCAACACATACATGCTGTATATATTTGCATATGTATATACTATTGGAGAGGAGGAGGGAGGACCTTGGGGTTGGTTTCAGGGGAAGGGTTTGGTGATTTGGTTGTTATGGAAGAGGGGGTTGCTTCAAGGGGGTAGCTTGTGGGTGGGCATGTTTCGTGATAGAGAGGGGGAAGGGGTGGTTCCAGGGGATCGGGATAAGGGTGGTTCAAGGGGGAGAAAGGAGGGGATTTTGGGGGTGGGTGGTAATTAGTGGGAAGGAGGGGGATTCAGGGTGGTGTGTAGGGGGTAGGGACTAAGGTTAGATGGTTTTTTTTTTGGGTGGGGGGTTGGGAGGAGAACAAAGGGTGATGTGGGGTGAGGGTGTTGGTCAATCATGTGGAGTTGGGTCTATATTAGTTGGGTCCATAGTTTGTTTGTGGTTGGGTTTTATTTGATTTTGACCACCAAAGGGTAAGGTTGTCGTTTTGTTGTTTCTCTCAATTTGTTTAGTTAAACCTATATCAAATGCTTTTGATTGCCATTTTTGGAACCTCGAGGGGTGGAGTATATCAAGCGCTAAAAGAAAAATAGTAAGTGGTGTCCATATGATCAGCATTTCAGGGTGAATGTGTGACCAATAATTGAGGTGCCCAAAGGTTTGAAATACTGAACATGTTCAATTGATAAAAAAGAAAAATGAGAAAGGTCACCAGCTCTTATTTGATAAAAGAGGATATCAACACCTACCTGATAGCTAGCCAATGGAAGATTATTGGTTTTGTTTTCTGCTGATTTCACAGAGACATCCTTTGTCTGAGTTTTTGAATTAACTGAATCTCTTAGCAGCTTGTTTGCCCCTCCTCCTCCTGCCCCACACTTTCTCTTTGTGGCAGTACACTCCCCCATTCACTCGCAATGCTTCCTTGCAAAGTGCAGCATTTTTTCTCTTTTTTTACATTGAACTGAAATTTGGGGCTCTTTTCCGGGTAAGTGTTACAATGCTTTATGTCCAAGAGATTATAGAGTCAATTGTGACTCTTATTCAAGTCCAAAAGTCAGAAATTGCGACTGACACAATGGATGGTAACTATTCACTTGTATGCTACAACACACATGATGCATTTTAACATGCTCAACTGTTGCATAGTTATGATGGCTAGGAAAGGACCCTGTACGGCTAAACACTGATAACATTGGTGCTGTACTCAGGTGAATCAGATAGGGACAGTTACAGAGGCCATTGAAGTAGTGAAGATGGCAAAAGATGCCCACTGGGGAGTGGTGATAGGTCAAAGAAGTGGAGAAACTGAAGATTCTTTCATAGCCGACTTATCTGTTGGCCTTGCCGCAGGTCAGATCAAAGCTGGTGCACCTTGCCGAGGAGAGCGACTAGCTAAGTACAACCAGGTTCGGTTAATTTTCATAGAGTGCATTTACAATTCTTTGATAGACATATTTAGCTTCTTTTAACTCAAATCTAGATCACTCTCTTTTCTTTTCTTTCTTGGATGGGGGTTGAGAGCATGAAAATTGATCTTAATATGTATTCACAAGGGACAAAAAGCTAAACTCACATATGGATAATGGGGAGACAACTTTTACCAACATTCAGCTTAACGTAAATTGAAAATCTGGACATAAAATAAAGCTGTCAACATGATTTGATCTAGTAATTGCCTTTTGTAGTATTAAATTTGTGGGAGCAACATGCGCGATAGCACAAGCTGCATGAGAACTTACCTTTCCTGTTTACAATTTCATGTTACTAATATGGCTACATTCACCATTATTATAGAGGTTCACGAGGAGCAGTGTTGAATTCCTACAACTTACGTGCAAGTATTTGAGTCCAAACATCCTGTCGGCTAGATATTCGATGAATCCAATGATCTCTTGATCTTATTCCAAATGCCACTTGTTTAACTTTATAGTTTGTGGAATGATCCTAATTTTGCTTCTTTGCCTCACTCTATTTTCTCGTTTTCCTTGTTGGCAGGTGCTTTTCATGGTTTCCTTGAATTTTTTTTTATTTTTTTAGTGTTAAAAACCTCCAAATCAAGTAGCACACAACATGCCTTCATGTCTAGAGATTACTCTTAAAGAACGCCCACGACTCAACAAAGCCTGGTTCGGGGACAGGAATTTTTTTTGGCATTTAGCTCCATCTAGGGCCTGATTACTCTAAAACATCTATGAACCATGATTACTTACTCAGCATATATATATATATATAATTTATGCGCATGGTCATTAACTTCCTAGTCTCAGCATCCCAATATCTCGTTTGTTGAAGAAATGAACTGGAAATTCAAATTAACAGGCAAAATTTTTCTGCAGCTGCTTAGAATTGAAGAAGAGATCGGTGACCAAGCAGTGTATGCTGGTGAGGATTGGAGACAGTCTTGATCTCATGTTTTTGTTCCCATTTTTTCTTCTTGAGAACTTCAGTTATCTGAAGCTTACCAATGTAGTAGCTGTTGTCTCAATGTTTCTTTTCACATAGACTTTGATATGCAAGTAAGTTGCAGTTTTGTTGATAGTTGCGGGGCTTTTGTTGAGTGAGATTGCATTTTGTTTTTCTTGTAAGCCAAATTTCTGAAAATTTGAGTGTATTATTTGATGATACGAGATTTGGGAATGCAACCTTTTTTTTTATTTTACTATAGAAAAGCAGTTGATCCAGGATGCTTCAGCGCAACCTCACCACCTGTGTTATTTGCAATTACATGAATCAGCCTCTTCTCAGACATGGCACAAGGGCCTTGCAATTTGGTTGAAAATCCAAATTTGAAAAACGCTGAGCTACATGATACATACGAATTGTTCAAAAATAAAATTTTGGATACGTAGGTTTGAGAATTTGTTGGTTTTCCCATTTTTTTAAAAAAGAAAAAAAAATTCTTTTCATTATCTTTAACTTGGTTGACTTGATCACTCGAATTGCTTGCTTGCACATGTAGAGTCCTCAAATAAACACAAGTATAAGAAAAACATTTTTGCTACAGGTACCGTTCAGTACAAGAACAAACAAAGCTATCAGTTGAAAATAAAATGCTGAACATTTTAACTTATGGCTTTGTCTCCTCATCATCCTCTTCAATCTTAGGAGCCAAGTAGAACCTGAGATAACCCATCTCAGCAATCTTGTACTCGACCACAACAGGAAGCTCAGAAGACAAGCTGATGGTAACCGTGTTTGACAGTGGAGTCGCCTTGGTGAAAGAGTTCATGTACCTTAGGGCAAATGTCAATGACACTGGCTCGTTCATCTCGATAGTTGTAGCTTCCTCTGGCTGCAAATTATAAAACAGATATATATCAAATCCATTAAAAACACAATTCAATTAACATACAGAATACATAAGGCCCAAGGAAAATACCTTGTCTACTGTGGTATTTTGCCGGCAGACAATATTAGCAGTTCCGATATCACCTCTTGTTGAGAACTTTACTCCTTCCTTTGTCACAGAGATCACAACTGCAAGCAACAATTAATCCAAAATTTACCAACTCGAACCCATTCATTAATAGACTCCAGGAAATGCCTATAACTAACAAATTACAGGAAGACAATACACCACCAATGTAATACCAGTATCACCAATGCTGCTGAGATCTTTACAAATTCTTGCAAAGTCAGACGAAGGCATACGAACAATAGCATGGAACTCTGCCTCGGGAATTCCTAGGTGCTCACTATCGATATCCATAAGCTTCATCTCAAAATCCGCAATCTTATCTTGTGCTGAATCATTCCATCACATACAACCCAAGGAAATCAAAACAACATCAGCAAAATTATAAACCAGACGTAGAAACATCATACCACAACACAGGAAAAACACGCAATTTAAACAAATATCCCAAACTAACTAACAAAGATTAGCCAAATCCCCTTTTTAGTTCTAAAGATTGAAGAACAAATTCCTTTTTCCATGGTGAATGAACTAATCAATGAAGCACTTCAATTTTTTATTTCTTATTTTTTCCAAATCATTTTCCAGCAACCAAACACATCAATTTTTTCTCCATAAAAAATTCACAAATATAACAAACAACAAAAGGAGAAAAATTAAACATAATTCAAAGACCAATCAATCAAACCAAAATCAAATTTTCCACAAGACGACAAGAAATTTCCAGTACTAGAGCCAAAAAAAACCCAAAAAAACCAGAAAAACCCAAAATTCCAGCCTAACAAAAAAGAAATCAGATTAAAAAACAACTAAATATTAAACTAAACTTACTGGGGCTTTCGAACATGAAGGTAACAGTATCGCTCCCATCATCACCCTTAATAGTAATAATATCATCATTCCCAGCACACTTCAGAATCTTAGCCATATTGCTCAAACTCATCCCCATGGAAATGTTACGGTCACATCGGTAGTGCTCAAACCCCTCCGATCTCAGTAACAGAGACACCAGCGCCACGTGGCTCGAGTCCATGGCCTGCAGAGAAAACCCAGTGGCCGAGCAGTCGAAGTTGGCATCGTTCACCAAGTCCTTGATGGCTTCCAGAACCTTCTTCAGAAGGCTGCCTTGAACAAGCCTGAGTTCCAACATTTTCTCAGTTGGTTTGGGTTGGTTGAGTTTTTCCGGGAAAGTTTCGAGGGTTTTCCGGGAAAGTATTAGGGCTAGGGTTTCAAAATGAAATCGAAAGAAAAGAGTGGGAAAATTGAGTGTGAGAAAAAGGGTTGACTCTTATAATATGAGTGGGCCGAGTTTGGAAAGCTAGGGCTTTATTGGCGGGAGGGCTACAAATGGAAATGACAAAATTCCCGCCATAATTTAGAACAGTTGGATATTGTGGGCCTTGTACCTGGGCTACATGTGTGGGTAATTAGCCCAAAGATCAATATGGGGCCGTTTAATCGGTCACTAAAGCATGAGACGGACTTCCCACAAACCATGAACAATTTTGAAGGTTCTGATATGCTATCTGCTTCCTCATCGAATGGCTATTAGGGATGCTTCCCTTGTTTTGCATAGATGAGGTTGTTGCGATAATGATGTAAGGAGGATGCGACGTTGGTTGGAGGTGCGGTTATGATACAATTGACAACTGATGTTGGTAGAATTGAAAGAATCAGAGAGAAAAATAAGTAACAAAAATGTTTATCGTGGTCATTATAATTTGACGGTAAATTTTTTTATGTCAATGTCCAATATCACTGTTTATATTTATTTATATCTCTACGTTCAAATTGGAATGTGAAATTTTCATATTACTGTTCTATGCTATTGTCTATTTTTTAATATCACTAAATGTATTATTAAGAATAAATTAGTTTTTATAACTTCAATTATCCTCTAAGCCCAAAAAAAAAAAAAAAAACTCGAACAAAAAAGTTTAGACCGAACAAAAAAAAAAAAAACAGTGTGCTGCATGTGCCAAGTGCATGTGCTGGATGAGGCCTTCACCAGTTCAGATAAAAAGGCTTCTTCAATTGTTTTAATTTACTTAAAACATAATTGTTGACAATAGCTAATGATTGGACACTAAATTATATAAAGCGGCTATTAATTTATCCGAGTATTTTCACTAATTATATAGATCACCTCGTACTTTTCAGGAATGATGTAAGGACCACTTGAATTTTAATGTTTCATGTATTTGTGTCATAGAGAAAACACCCCCTAGATGGTGACAACAATATAAAAATTTGAGTAATAATCTTCAAGGGTAGAAATTGAAAATTTGTGTATCGTTTGGGGTTCAAAGTGCATTTACCCTAAATTTTAAACGAACTCGGATCGTCGGACCTATGATTCGGGTCTGTGCAGTTTCAGACTGCATCTCTTCCATAAACGAAGGAGGTTTGTACTATGCCCTTTACTTCATAATTACTCTTCTTCATCACTAGACACTTATAAAAACCCTAACCACATTTTTCACTCAGATCCACTGATCTTCAACCAATCGCATTGTTAGTTGCCTCCAATGGCGACTGAGATCTCATTCCCCGGAATTTTCTTTTGCAGTGCTTTGGCGGCTTGTTTTGCTGAGGTACTTGTTATTTTGGATCTATTGTTATTACGTCAAACGTTGTAATCAGAATTTAGTTGGATTATTTGTAACAAGCGATAATTTCGAGCTCATTTTTAGGCATTGTTCGAATTCAACCATTCTTTGGTCTGGTTCTGGTTCAATGAGCAATTGATCTGCATCGTGTTACCCAGTGCTGCTTTTGGTTTGCAGTTCACTTCGAATTTCATGCTTACACGGTTACACCAATTGCTTAATGGTTAAAATTTGAGCCAATTCTTTCTATATGTTGATGTATGTGCGTGTGTGTGTGTGAGAAATGTTGTATTTTGCATTGAATAATACTCCGTGAATCGTATTCTTGGGAAATTGTAGATGCGCATTTACGCCAATTCACCATTACATTTCCAAGAGTATCAATTCCACGATGGCAAAGTCAATACAGAAGCTGTTTTTGGTAGCATGGACGCAATGTGAAATTTAACTCGGAGGCTATATTAGTTAAATTTTAAGTAGGTGCTCCAAGTCTAAATTCAAGACATGGATTATGTGCTTCCAATTGCAGCTTAAGCAGTCATCCTATGTGGACTCTTCAACTAGTGGACCAGATGCTGTTCATATGGAACAACGTCCATCAGCATTTCCTAATGGAAAAAAAAGAGTGATGCGAGGGGCTGGGAGGGGTATAATCTAAGTTTTATAGCAGCTCATATTCCCAATTCATGTTATAGGTTTAGTGAGGATCTGGACTTGGGAATTGGGTGCAGTCAAAGTTTAAGAAATTTATACCAAAATATCTTTCAGTGGGAAATATATACATCTTTTAATTACATTTTATATGTTACTGCATCACTGCAATTCCTATTTCATAATCTGGTTCTAACCACTCCAATGCAAGTTTTGCCTTTTCATGTCTTGACCTGTTTATTTCTTCATTTCTCTTTGTTGAACATGTAGAAGTTGAAACTCCGTTCCAGGTAAATGAGCCCCAATAGCCAAATATGGGTTCTACTTATATTGATTTTCTGTGAACTGTCTGACTAGATTGACACTAACAATTTTTTGTTGGAACTTATATGCTGTGACAATTATGATAGAACTAACTAGACGTGCAGCATTTATCCCTTCAACAGTGTGAATGAAATTGCTTATCTATGGTGCTTGCATTTCGAATATATGACATATTGAAGTGTTATTTTTGGCAGTTCTGTACTATTCCTCTAGACACTGCTAAAGTTAGGCTTCAGCTACAAAAGAGAACAGCTTCAGGGGAAGAGGCAGGAGCATCTAAGTACAAGGGTATGTTGGGTACGATTGCTACTATTGCTAGGGAAGAAGGGTTATTAGCACTTTGGAAAGGAGTAATACCTGGATTACATCGCCAGTGTCTCTATGGAGGTTTAAGGATTGGGTTGTATGAGCCAGTGGGTATTGAGTATCCCTTGTTCTTTTGAATATTTTGTGCATTCATGATGATTTATTGACGTGCATGCATAAATGCACATTGCATAGGTTAAAGCCTTTTTGGTTGGAAGCAGTCATGTTGGAGATGTTTCCTTATTCAACAAAATACTTGCTGCAATGATAACTGGTTAGTAAATTTGGTGACGACGTTCTGCTAATTTTTTATAATAGTGTGCAGATGTAATTTTTCA